GTCTCTGTACACAGAGAGCTGTTACCCTTCCCTTTATAGTTATGACAAGAGGGTATAAAGGACACAGCATCTCCTCCTTCTCTGGACATTTGGGAATAGCACAGAAGGTCCCCCAATATTTTGGCCAAAACTAGTCATGAAATTGATGTCAAATTGACACATAGGTGTGAATCAACGGAATTTGCATGTTCTGGCACACAAATTATTCATCCAAAAACGTGGCCTACTCTGTTAAGAACACACCTTATTCCACGGTGTAGCCAGGCCCTAAATGTTGGCCTGGATTAGGCAGTCAGGGAAGAGACTATTAACTCTATGCACACATCATATTTATTGTCCAAATTGGAGACTTTCACCACTAATTGTCTAGATCGCCACAGGAACTTCCCAAAGGCTGTAGGGCACTGACTGCCAGGAGGCACAAATCCCTGCACAAATCACCGTGGGTCAGATGAGGGGCCCTGTCCTATCTGACCCGAATACTGTCCCCGCAATGGGTTTGACTAACACTTGCCCATCCTGCATTGGCCTTATGGTGCCTCCATTAACCATCTGGAGTCCCTGTATCTGTGGGGTTGACTCTGTAGCCTTGGCTATCTAAGTTTTTCTTGTGGAAGAGAGAAGCTCTACTTACAAACAGTCCCCTTCTGAGGGGGTGTACCTGGAGTAGCTCTGCTTACCTTGTAAGGAGGAGGGTGTATGGAGGGGGGTGGCTGCAGAGACTAGTGGCCTACCTCCATTTTGGATGGTGGGGTCGGGACTGAAGGGAGGTCCAATTTTGTGCTATGTATCTTGATTCAAGTCTTGTCCCAAGCTCTTTCCTGCCTTGAGAATGGCACCACCACTTGGGTGGAGTATGTCTTGTCTTTCCCCCTTGGAGGCCTAGCTGCAGTTCCTGGGTGTTGGTTTCCTGTCTGAGTTTAGTGGGCCATATGCTGCACCACAAAACAAGCAGGAAGTCACTTGTGTTGGGCTGTGTCTCCATAAGAATGGAGCTAGAATGAGAACTCTTCCCTCACCTGCATGCAGACAAGAAATCTCTCAACTAGTGTTGGATGGAGAGTAACAACTCCAGAGGTTTTGAAATGTCACCATCTTTCCGCATTGGCACTAACAAAACACAACCTTTGACTGTTGCTGTGAAATTGAATTGTCAGATGGAAAAGGCAGGCTTTGATTTATTTGCCAAGCCCCTCTTAGACCTCTGGTATCTTTCCTGTCAAAATCACAGTGTCTCTGCAAAATGCATAGGCTTTGAAACTGTATGTTTTGTTGACAATACTTGCTAAAAATTTTCTGACCAGCTCCCAAAATGTGACACCCTTCTCCCCCCCCCCAGACTATTTCTACAGTTACCTCTCAATCCCACCCAGCCTGCAGCAAAAGCACTGATGGCTTGCACAGAAGAACTAGTGCTCAGGAGCAATAATGAAAACAAGCTTGTTAGTAGAGTTTCTCTTCTCCTCCCCACTCTCTCTCTCCTTCTGCAGGCTATTCTCACTGAGTGTCAGGCTATCTGTGTATTGGTAACTCTTCTGTCCTAAACAATCACTCTGTGATACCAGCTCTTCCTCCTATATCCCCCTTGGCTCTCACTAAAGAATCGTTGGAATCTTAGCACTGTCCAAAGCCTTGAACTTCTAATTTCATATGAATCAGCCCATCGAACCTTGGCAGTCTTGTTTTCATGTAATAACGCCAGTGTCTGCCTTTCTCCAGACCCCAGACTCCTTGGTCTACAGCACAAGCCTGTCCTACAACCCCACCCCTGCCAGGAACCCAGTGATCCTGAGACCCAGTCCAACTGTGATCCCTATTGAGTGTCACTATTCCAGGTGAGTGCCTCAGATGCTCTGTCCCTATCACTCGCATCTAGTCCCTGTCCTGGGAGCAGGTTGAGCATCTGAGGTTTCCTCCTCTCCCAGGAAGAACAATGTGAGCAGCAAAGCCATCAAGCTAACTTGGGTCTCCTTCAGGTCTACCCTGTCTGTGGAGGAGAAGCTGAGTTTTTCCCTGAGGAACGGTAGGCGGTGGTTCCTTTGCACAGGGGCCTCCTGGAGTCATGATTTGGATGCACCAATGATTGCCAAGTGAGTCATGTGCCTGTGGGGAAGTGTTTGTCACACAGCCCTCTCCTTCCCCCTAGGGGCTGTCAGTGGAGGGTGGTGAAGGGACACAGCCCATGTTCCCACGTTTGGGTAGTCTGACTGCAGTGTAGCTCCGTAGGCAAGCTGAGGCACTCAGCAAGGTCCCCCTTATGTGTCAGGGCGGTAATTCCCGCTTGTGTCAACCAGCTCCTCTCCATAGATCCATGTGGGTGCTGGACTGTACGCTGTAACAGGAGCTAAGCTTCCACCCACCCAAAACCTAATCCTGATGATTAAATGAGAGCATGGAGCAGGGGGCATAAAGATTCCAGAGGGGCTCCATATGCTGCCTGTGGTGCTCATGGAGAGCTTGCCTTGCAGAGGACTGGAGCACTGAGAGACCATCCAATGGATTCCAGCTGGGGGAAGTCATGCCTATCCAAGCTGATGTCAGCACTGGGAACCATGTGGCTTTGAGGCACTGTGTGGCCACCCTGAGCCCAGACAGGGACTCCTCTCCCTGCTATGCTGTCATTGACTTCAATGGGTAAGAGCTGAGGTGTCCCTTCCTGAGGATATTTACTGCTGTCGCTGGTAAGGAACTATGCTTGCTGGGCATCTTACTGACCCTTGACTCTTGTGTCTAGCTGCCTGGTGGATGAGAGATCAGGTGACATCCCCTCAGCCTTCATATCACCCAGGTCCAGACACGACACACTGCAGTTCATGGTGGATGTGTTCAGGTTTGCAGGAGATGCAAGAAATTTGGTGAGATGCCTTCCCCCACTCTCTATCAACACCTAATAGGGCTGTTAAGACTCTGTCCCTGAAATGACTCTATTCCCACTTCCCCTCCAGATCTATATCACTTGCTATCTGAAAGTCACTGCAGCTGAGCAAGCCCCAGATTCCTGGAACAAGATTTGTTCCTTCAACAAAGCAGGCAACATGTGAGTGGCTAGAGTATAACCTTTGGCTAGTCTGAATCTGTTCCCCTTCCAGATGTTGCAAAATTCAATATTCTTGTACACTTTCTATCTTAGGAATTGGCCAAGAAGTACTTGGATATGAGAGGGTTTATAACTGACCAGACAAATGGGCAATGCTCGAGACAATGTAGTTTCTGATAGTGACAACTTAAAACATGTATTCATGTGGAGAAGTCTAGTAGGAAAAAGCTAATAAAGCACTGAAGGGCTGCACAGTAACTTGTTACTATAAATAACTATCTTCTCTTTAAGTACTCCTGTTCTTTTTGCTGATACAGACTAACACGGCTGCTACTCTGAAACCTATCTTCTCTTTGTTACAGCTGGCTTCCAGTGGAAGGCACCAGAGACATCTGCAGCTGCTGTGAGACTGGGAACTGTGTGGGCTGGTTAGAGGAAGTCTGGTAGGCTATGTCTACACTACAGAATTAGGTCAGATTTATAGAAGCCGGTTTTATAGAAACCGGTTGTATGCAGCCGATTGTGTGTGTCCCCACCTAAAATGCTCTAAGTGCATGAAGTCGGCGGACCGCGTCCACAGTACCGAGGCTAGCGTCGACTTCCGGCGCATTGCACTATGGTACCTATCCCACAGTTCCCGGAG